AATTTGATGAAGTAGACAGCTTACAGTACAAGAAGCTTTGCGAACACACTAATTACATAAATTGAATTCATTGCAAGTACTTTCCGATACTTTGAACCTTGGAGATGGAGAAATTCGGTGCATAAGTGCTGCTCATAGTGGCAGACGTAGCTTGTTATGAAGACAGGAAGTGCTTGACAGTGATACAAGTGAAATTGCGCATAAGGAGAGTTGGGCAAATGGTTGGCAGAAGTTGCAATATTACTTCCTATCTGCGAGAGCGAATCGTAATGTCTTTCAAATGTAATTTAGTTACTAGTACTGCGTGGATGAGAGCTATATTAGTAAATAACTCTTGAAAATGAGATAATCAAAATTTGACTTATCAACAAATTGTACTCATCATTTAGCGCACAGAAATAGAGCTTATCTTCAATTGTATGCATTATTGATAGGAATCAAACTCATTGCATCGGGCACGGTTCTCACGTTATTCAGTACTTGCATACATACCGTTTTCAAAAATTTTCTCTATGCGTTTCTGATAATAATGTAAGAATAAAACCGTAAAAGATTTATAGTGAAGTGGTATTGAAATTTCAAAGTATGAAAACTACTATTTTATTTCGAAATTTTTGAGAGTAATACATTTCCAGCTTTGTTAAAAAATTATTAGTGTAGTGAGAAATTCATGAAGTACGTTTAGAAATGTGACTCATTCACATTCACAACAAATGGAGCTGAAAAAAGATTTCTGAGCTTGAAGAGTAATGCATAGTAGTGTGGAGAGACAGCAGGAGTGAAATTAGTTTCAAAAGTAAACAATGAAATAAAAAACTAAAATAAAACATTACTCTATCCATTCGGAAGTGTTCTGAATGATTATCATTCAAGAACAAACGTAGCATCTTCAGTTCACATTTATGAAATTCCGAATTTCTCATTTTAGTGCTCTTATATTGCAACAGCTAGAATAAATAGTAATATGGCTTTTTTTTCTCATTACGTTCGTAATAGCCAATATTATTTTACGGTTTTAAAATGATTTGTGCGTGGTATGCTCTGATGAAAAAGTAATTAAAGATACGCTAGCAGTGAGCTGGATTTGGCTGAACTGAAATTGTAAGAAATGTGTAAGTAAAACTGCATAATATAAAAATGGTTTTATTCATGTAATTCCGCTTTTCTGTGACTTTTTGAAAGGGAAACAACAAATAATGCTAGCAATTAAAACAGCGAAACATTGAAAGCAACGAATTGTATCCAAATGTGTACAAAATACGCGAAAAGAAATGGTTGAGGAAAAACATCGATCACCTCAAGGGAAAATGAGGTAACTGGAAGTCATCATCTGATCCTTGCTAAAATCGGAAGTACAATTTTATCAAAACTTTGTACCTGTAGGATGCGATGCGAAAACTGGTGATTGCACAAGTAATATTAACACTTATTCATTAATTCAATATGGATTAAAGAAGACGAGATACTGATGGCACTTTGTTAACAGATATCGAGTGTAGGCTAAAAGAAAGTATGTAAGCCAAATCTTAGCCAAGGAAGTATTTGAGTATTGAGAAGGCGATGACGGTAAAAGGCTGTTGTTAGCAATATTTTGATGCATAATTTTCAAATTGAAACAGAGCAAGAGACGAGCAATAGAAAGGCTATAGACGGGTTGATACGTGAATAAGTAAGTAAATAGATAGAGAGATAAATAGATGGACCGATGAAGTGAACAGACAACTAGACTGACGAGTAAAATGGATCAAATTTCATATCACTCTAAAAATGCTTATTTTTTGTTGCTTCATTTTTCAAGTGGATACACACACTACAAACGAAGTTAATTTTGCTGTGAACATGCTTTAATCGTAAAGTTATAAATGAAAGGGAAGATTTCATCCAACCTTAAATGTATGAAACATGTGAAAAGTCTGATTGCAACCGTTTTTGTTTGTAATTTGCGGGAATCAATCGAAAAGAAGGATAGATAATATATGAATCACAGCAAGAATAGACTGCATAGATCCTTCCTAATCAAAATACGAAATCTAATTAAAATTGCATTGAGCAATGGAAATGCTGAAAACAAAACATTTGAGCAGTGATTTAGTGAAATATATAAAAACAGCAGCTATGTAATACAACAGACATGAAAAGTTCGCATAAAAACACTTTGAAATGTATACATACAATTTCAATTGAACCACACGTAATGATAAATTTATTGCCTTTGTTTTCACAACCTAATCAATCTTCAGTGGAGATACTAACATTTTCTGATTGAATATGTATAATGTATGAATAATGAATATGGACTGAAAACACTCTCTCTTTCTGAAAAATATAACTCAAAAAACCAAAGGTAATCACAGTGTTACTGAGAATTTGAGAAAAAAAAGGAGAGTTTTGTGATCACGGATATTTCCAATCGATCTGGAAAAACCCGAAATATTTCACTTACTAATGATGATAGGATAATGATTCAGCTTAATCTTGATTCATTCAATTCATGCACAAATAAAGAAATTTTCAAACATTCTGCAATATTAGATGATTTTTAGATTCATATTACAGAAATGACTTCAAAGAACAGCAATGACTGAAACAAAGAACAATTAGTTATTTCATTTATCACTTAAGCTAATGAATGGATCATATTGACAATGAAAAGTTTTAAAAATATTGGCATCCATTTTTTTTTTTTCTAAAATCTCTTTTGCTTTCCATATCTTCATCGCCTTTGTATTCGATTACCATTCTTTTCCAGACCTGAGAACTCACGATCAATTTTTCTGGCTTTCTTGGTGAGAGTCATCAAAACTGTGCCAACAGCAAATACGAGATAATCAAGATTAAAAGTTGCTGATGTTTGGGTATTCGGTTTATCTGTCAAGTAACATGATTGGCATCCAGTGTGGTCGGATTATTTGAAAAGATCGAATTATTTATCGTATTACTGTAGAACCTTGAATCTTTTGATTCTTCTTTTTGATCGAAATTACGATATTCCGGATTGGTCATATACCAGTGAAGCATTAAATCGTACAAATACTTATATTCGTCCTAAATTTAAGAAAACTACTGGAATATTAAAATAACATTATTTAACACTTACAAACTTAATTTCCAAACAATTATTACAATAATCATTTCTGCAATTTCTCAGGGAAAGGAAAAAAATTAGAAACCAAATCAATACCACTAACTATATTAATTTCATTGAAGGCAAATAAATATATTAAATAATGCTGACAACTGATAGTTTCCTTTTTTATATAATCAGGATTGATTCAAATCATATCATGCAACTAAAAGTTTGTCCTAACAAAAGACTTTGAATTTGTGAGATAAATCAACATTTCATTGTTCCAAACCTATTATGAAAATAATATCATGTCTATTTGTTTTCATTTCAAAACTAAGAAAATTTAAGCATTAGTTTGAAAAAATCTTCAACACCAAGAACAATGACAACATTTAGATAGCAATGATAAAACTGAAATAAAAGCCAAGCACAAAAACAACTTTAATAAATAATTGCAGCTTATAACCAATTATCAATACTGAAAGAAAATGAAAACAAAATATATTACTGATTTGATGAAAAAGAAAGTTTAACAAGTAAAAATCTTACTCTGTCAACAAGTTGAGGCCTATTCATTCGAATTAATTTAACTGCATGAAAGACATCCACTTCGTGGTCCATATCCATCTGATCGATGCATACATTGGCAGCTATGTAAATACCGCAACGATTCACACCATTACTACAACGAATGAATGATCTACTTCAAACTAAATAATCATTAACTGATTATTAAATAGCATTTTAAAAAAGCAGTGAAACATCTACTTCATAACTCTAGTTGTTAGCAATATTCAACATACAAATAAAAGTTAAAGAGTTAATCTTTTGCGATGATTTAAAAAGTTGACCTTCGAACTAAAATGTACTGCGAGCTGTAGCTATACAAATTTCAAAATTTTATTAAAGTTTCTCGACATAAAAATTGTTTAAATTAATTGTATTCTATTTAGTAACTTAATAGACTGAACAAAAGTCGACTTCAACCTTGATTTTTTTTTTATAAAAAAAGAAAAAAATTCATTAATACATTTTAATTCCAAATAACTATCACAAACTAAAGTAATCAATAAAAAATTTAAGAAAAGATTAATAGCAATAAGAGCGTGATACAATCTAGAAGTTGTAAATTATTAGAATAAAAAAAATGTCGAAAAAGATTTTTAGCAACTGCATAATAATAATAATATCTAGAGAATAAGTAAGTATGGACAGAGAAAACTCACTGCGACATAACAATAGTTGGCTTTGTTTCTGGCCTTTCAGGTGCACGTTTTCGCCAACTTCGTGCCATTTTTATCACATCAATCAAGCCAACTGTTGATAACGGTACTTCATTTTCTATTGGCCACATTCGTACCTATGTCAAAATCTTTTAGCATAATTTACACAGTTCAATATTTGCTAAACTGTGTATAAGAAATGTTGACACAAACTTTATGCTGATTTCAAAAAATAAAAAATTCAATATTTGTTTAGTGTAAACAAAATTTGCATATATGAGGCCATTCAAGCAAATTTTTGCTGCTATGATTTTTACTTTCTACTTAAAAGTGATGACATTTGTTCCAAATTTTAATAGATGTCGAAAGAAAATTTTTCAGTTCTATCACAAAAAGTATATTCCATTCATATACTAAACTTTCAAAAGAGGAGAATTCTTGGAGTATATTTAATGGGAGATTTAAACAGATAATTATCACCTGTATAACGCAACATATTCTAACTTCGGCATCTAACTGTTGCTGATTACTCGCTTTAGCCATTATTTCTGAGATCATCAATGTCTAAAAGTTATTACTAGTGGAAGGTGCACAAATATTTGTTAAAAAGGAATAAGAGAGGAATGGATTCTTGTATTGAATAAGTATATTCATACGATCTCATACACCAACCAGTTAGTAATTTGAAATTCCAATGAAAATTACTATAACAAATGGATTATACACAAAATCTTTAAAATCTTTTGTAATTTCCACAGTCTATTTCAAAATTATAAAACTGACTACACAAAAGTTTAAAAAAATAATAATCCTGAATTCTTTCCTTCCTTGAATTATGCTATCATTTCAACGATGATAAAAAAGCCAAGTAAATAGAGCTATCTCTATACGATTTTAAATGAATTAAAAAGCACTATTATAAATTCAGGGTTCTTTGGTATGAGATCGACTGGGAAAATATTAAATGAGTGGTTTCGAAGGTGAAATTGAAAAGTTTAAAATACTGAACGAATTAATACTTCGCTACAAAAAAAATGAAAACATAATTGGTGACACATATGAAAACAAGAAGAAAATTAAAGGAAGTGGTGAGTTAATTCAGAACCATTTTAAAAATTTTCAGGATAAAAGTAAACAAAGATTTCTTTGCGTACTGCAGTTAAAGTAATATGCAGAATATGAGTAAACTGTTAATTGGCAAGACAATAGAAATATTTTCATATTATAAAATTTAATTTCAGATAAGCGATTAAGAATTTTTTTTCTTTTGAGTTACATTGTTCTGAATCCTTACCAAAAATATAATGCTTTATAAAATGAATGCAAATAGACAAATTTACAATTATAAAAAGGTAATAATACAGAGAGATAAGTAAGGTAAGAAAGTGATGCACAGTTAATAATAGCAATTACAGTAATGTGAAAGAGTTAACAAGAATAAAGTTAAAGTGCAAAAAAAAAAACGATTCTGTTTCAGAATCAGTGAGCACTAATAATCATTAACACCTCTCATCAAAAAATGATTGTGATCAGAAAAAAATTATGATATGATCAGAACTTAAAACTGTGAACGCATAAATAAATAAATATAAGTAAATTAATATAAATATATACAAAGAAATAAATAAATATTTATTTATATGACAATGACATAAGGATTCACTAAAAAAACATTTGTAAAAGTAATATTATGGGACCGAAAATTCGAAATATTCGAGAAATTATGTAATATCCTAAAATACTTTTTAAGTATAATTTACTTCAATCATGATTTTAAAACTTATTTAAATTTTTGAAATGCCAATATAAATTAACAGTAATAGAGTTGTTATTGTGAATAAAGCAGACCGTATATTCTCTAGTATAAAAACTAAGGCCGAAAATATGCTTAAAAAAGAAATTCATAAGGAAAATTTAAAAATCTAGCTTCATGCTAAAAACAAATGGTTGGCTTCAGAAGAAACTCAAACTTAACAGATATTTGCATAAGTGAACAGTGCAAAAGTAATTTAAATATCGTAAAAAACATTAGTGCCATGAACCAAAACGATAACAATATTAAAAATTTAGTTTTCACTACTCTTAACAAATGAAAAATTGCACTACATTAGGAAAACTCACTAGTTTATTTACATTTTTAGCAGCTTTTGGATCATCTTTTATGATAAATGCATCGAACCGATTCTGAAACAAAAATGTGTATAGTAGCCTGAAAAGTCAAATAAGCGAAAAGTGGTAACCAATCATTAGCTTACAAAATTATGCCTGAATACACGCTTTCATATTTAGGGCTTAAGTTCAAAACAATTTAACTCATTAATCTATGCAAGAAATATTTGGTAAAAAATTGAAGAACCAAACTCCAAACTCTTAACTCAATACATTTAGAAAAAATTAGTTATGCGCTTATTCAATAAACGCTATAGATATTCTTAGATTACTGTTAAATGGAAATTTGTACAATACACAGTATATCGAAAAAATTATATTAAAATTAATTTAAAGGAAAGTATCATTTAGATCTTATTAAAACAAATCTAATAGAAAACTGAACATAAGCAAAATTTGTAAGACTCAAAAATTGATATTTCGCTTATTTTTAAAACTTCAGGAAGTAAATTATTTGTTAACACTGCAGAAATTGTTTGGTTAATTTGTTTTTGATTTTTTCGAATGAACTGTAAAATTTGGAAAAACTCAATACTATTCTGACCTAGTATTGAAAAATGTTGAATAATTAATACAAAAGTCAACAGAATAATCATAACCATTCTTTAGCTAAATGTACTTCAAAAAAAAACAAAACACAACAACAAAATAAGAGAGATTAATTAAAACTGTTATCTGTTATAGAGTACTGCAATCTAAAATGCAATCTAAAATAAATCATTGCATTTTCTGGCATGCAAAAATGCACTACAATTTTTTAAGCATTGAATTAACTGGTAACACAAGTAAAAATTTTTACAAAAGATTAAAGTAAAGGCTGAAAGACAAAAAAATTTATGACACAAAGTGTAATAAGGAGTTAACAAATCGAAAATCTTACAAAACTCTTAAGCATGCATAAGAGTGTAATTTATCAGGATAACTTCAGATGTTCTCTAGAATACTGATGGAACTAGAAAACTTATCAAAATAATTCCAATCCTTCAACCAATTGCTCTAATAGCAACAAGCATTTTTTTGATTCAAATTAGTTCTTACAACGCTTATTTTTAGCAACAATCATTTTTATTCATTTTGGATTCTACAATGATATTCTTGTATTCATTCAATTTATTGCTCAGCAGTGAAATATCAGTAGATCAATGCTGCAACAATACTTTCATAAATTTGAAAGAATTTAGGTTAAAGTTTCTAATGTCAAGCTAATATTTTGGAATAAATTATGGACAGATCAAATAAATTATTTGACCACATGAGGGAAACTTAAAAGTTTTTTTAAATCTATCGCTTAGAAATAAATTTATTAAAGCTTAATTCTGCATCGAAAAGACTGAGTGCCTGTCAAAGTTGCATATTTTACAGAAAAAGAACAAAAAAAAAAGATTGAAAGGTGTGTAATACTTATTGTTTATTACTATTTGAAAGTGAAATAGCTCGAGAAATATAATTCATTTTAGTATTTTAGACAGAACCATTTTTACTTTACAACACCATTTATCTAATTATTTAACTTGATCTAGATGCATTCTGCTTCATTAGTTGCACGATTTAAAATGATCAACCAAGCCAAGATTGACTGTATAACTAAAAAAGCGTCAAATAGATCGAATTTCAAAAAATTGAATTCATTCATTCGTCTGAATCAATCTAAAATAATTTCCTTGATTTTCAGAGCTTAATAAATGTAAAAAGAAATGATATCATGAAAGATATCACTTCAGTACATACAAAGAACAAAAAAAGAAGGACATAATTTTAATGACAGTAACTAATGAATAGTTCATTCATTTATCAAACAAAATTTCTCAACACCTGAAATAAACTGAAAATAACAAACCATCAACTGAATCATTTAAATAACAAATATGCTCAAATTCAAATGCAATATCCAATGTGAAATTTCATTTCGTTACTATGTATGCATGTATGCTCAAGTGAATGTTATGTGTTCGGGCTGTAGCTCAATCATTTAAAGACATCAAGTTGATTGCAACAGTGAAGAAATTTAGAAATTGTAGTCAGTAAATACAATTTATTTATAGGGAACTGAAATACACCTTATTATTTCATAAAAATGTTGGAGAAACTTTATTGCAAAGATGAAAAAATGTGAACTTTCGAATAAAGAATTAAAGTTAAAACATACTTTTTTCATAACTTTGACCACATGTGAAGTCATCGACGGGTACTGGTGATGATTTAAAATTTCAACAACGAAAGGCCCATACGTATGTCTTCCTCTGTTTTGTAGAAATGATGGATATGTCTAAAAACAGTTAATTTCACAATTACTACTTCAAAACTTCTTTTATTTATGAATAATAGAGACACTAATTTATTTTGAAGTCCAAAAACATGTTTAGTCATTGCCTTCATTATTAATCAGAATTTATAATATATAAATGCATTAAAAAATACAAAAATCAAATTCAATTTACTCGAGCATGTCCTTGATTACTTAAATTAACAATTGTATGACAGCTATGATCAAATACTAATGTCCAAAAACTATCCAAAGTTGAATTTTTTGGCCATTCTGTTACAATAAATTCATTTTTTCGCTTAAATCCATCAACTTCCACCGCATTGATATAGGTATAATCTTTGCTTTCGCCGTGTAATGTTTGTAGATATGGTCGAGCGTGATCAGCTAAAAGTTAGCTCATTTCGAAGAGGGATTTGTTATGGGTGAATAGAAGAAAGTTATTCTTAAATGAGAAGAGAGAGATATGTCAATATTCTGGCAGTAGGAATAGTTCCTGTTTTTAATCTTAAATCTATGACTTCAAATTTTGTTAGTTTTGTCAGAAAAAAACTTTTGAAAGTTTTAAAAAGCATTTAAAAAATGTTCTGAAAAGCATCTGTTTTCTCAAGCAAAAGATACTTAAATACTCTTGAATAAATGAAGAAAAAATTTACGTGGCACCACCATAATATCTCTGTTTTTACCACGGTTTTCTAGCCGATGACCACCCGCGCAATCCCCTATCCTCAGTGTAGGTGTCAACATCACTAGTAGCTACAATCAAGCACTTGAACTTTGTGCCAATATTGAGCATAAAACCTTACAGCATATACGTGCTCACATATATATATTTGACTGTATTGACAGTACAATTCGATCTAAGTTTTGTAAAAATTGAAAAAGAAAACAAGTCAAATGAAAATATGTAATATAATCCTCCACCTTAGCTTCATCAGCATTTTGTGCTTCCATCATCTGACGATTTTTTTTAGCTTTATACATTGAGCTTCTTTCTTTCAACCTCCACATTTCAATTGGTTGAATATTACATAACACTGCCTAAAAAATTTTTCACTAAATTTCATTACGCAGTTCTGTGTACTGTCAATCTTCAAAAGATTTATTATAGTTTTACTGCTCAAATCAAACCTCTGCAAGAGCATCATAAATGAATTGGTACTGATCAACAGAATCGATCAAATGTGGTCGAGAATTAATCAAGATTTTACCATATTCAAATACATCAATCTGCCCCGTCCTCTTTAACAATTCCAAATTAGCATCTAACGCCAGAAATGCACCACTTCTTCCACCACCATTACTACAAATACAATGTTTATTTTGTATTAATAAAACTGAAAGCTTGCTATGCTGAGTGATAATAAGAATTAAAGTATCTGCTAAATTGTCAAAACCTTCAAATCTTAATAAATTAATGGAGTAAATACCTAATTACAGAATAGATTCGAAAAATTTAACTTGTACACATGAAAAAGAAACAAAATATTCTGTATATCTCTATTGAGTAATTGATAAATAACAAATAATTTTCACAACAAAAGGTTACTACTGAAAGGGCATGAAGAAAGGAGAAAGAAAAACTGGTTTGTTATACAACAGAATTATGTAGAGGTGCAAGGTATGAGTAGCTTTCCTTCAAATTTAAGCTAAAAAGGTTTGTTTTCTGCGTAGAAAAGAAGGAAGGTTGCATCGAACTTTAACAAAAACATTATTCACTTCAGTTGAACAAGCCAACTATGTTACTGCAGTCATTTCAATATTTATTTTTGAATTCTACCTTTAAATTTTGCTTTGCTATGGCTTAAGCTTATCTTACCAATATAATGAGGTATTGCAATTTGTTTGATGTTATTTTATAGCAACAGTGAAGAAATAATTTTTCTTTATTTTACTTAAATCTATCTTCACGCTATTCTCATTCTTTTTCTAATTTTTTTCATACAGCAATGTATGTGACTGCTGCGAAATTCAATTTAAATCGGTAATAATTTATAAAAGCAAATCAACAAAACCAAACCTTTAAAATGATAATTTTTTTAGTAAAATTTCATGTGGTTAACATAAACACTCCATTAAAATACAATACTTTCAACATGTATTGAAATCAAATGTTCAATTCCAGTATTTTCAGAGGAAATCACTAATTCACAAAAATACATTTTAGTTAAAAAATTCAGAATAATTTCATCTGTAGATGTCGTTGTTTTTAGTAACGATAACCTTTATATTTTACATAATTTGAGTATTTACTGCACTGATTTCAAGTGAGTAATTATCAAAAATTTCATTTCTCTACAATTTACGACAATATTCACGTCGTTAAAAATGAAAATCCAATTTCTTTTACAAATGTGAGCTGAAAAATATAGGAAGAAAAAAAAAAGCTCATATCTGTCAAGCAAAAAAATTATAACCAAAAATTTATTAATACTTGATGAAGATGAACTGCTATAAAATTACTGTAATTTATTTTACTTCAAATATTTTCATGTGAATCACAAGAAATGATGGGCAACTTCTGTCACCAATTATACCAAGCATTTTTCGCCTTATTAGTAATCATAATCAGTATTATAATTAAAACTAATTAAATGATATTTCCTATAATTAAATTTCATTCCTTAGTACTTCTGCATATTGCGGCAGAATGAAATTAATAGAAAATTAAATTCTAACAATAAAATTTATTTAGGAACAAAAAAAGTTTGATTCAGATAACAGGAGCTATCAAAAATTTGAGTAATAAATGTTTATGTTATATTTTAGATATATCAAATTGCTTAATATGCAAATCTGATGTTTAACTGAGTGAAGCGAGTTTATTATTTGTCATTAAATAAAATAATTGAAGTTAATAAATTTTTGCGATTTCTTTTCTTATTTTTAAGAGTTAATATGAAAACAACAATAACGATTGTTCGGTGATTTGAGTTTTATAGCAAAGGAAAAGGTTGCAAATGAGACAATAATAATTTGCTTCAAGTTCTAAGAGTTTTTGCACTCATTATTTAACGTGATAGTACTAAATTTACTATGTTACAATTAAAGAATTTCAGCAATTCAATTGGATTAGTTTTACAAATAAAATAATAAGCAAAAAGTTTACTTAAATAACAACTTATACCTAATTTTGCGACGCACTTATGCATATTTTAAAGCCTTAGAAAAAAAGCTTGACTTTCTATTGAATTCATATATTTCTTTCAATGAAAACAAATGAATTCATAGCAACTGCTCATAAGATGCAATCAAAGCTTACATCGTATAGCACAAGATGTGATAGCAATTGTTTTCATTAGCATAATTCTCAACAAATTGTTGTATTATTTTAGCTTGCAAACATTCATTTCAATATTACTTATCATTAAATGAACAAAGTAAAATAAAACTTCTTTTTCTCGCAATCACCATAATTATGCCATCAATGCAACGATAGCATATCGTAAAGAGAGAATCTTGAACTTTCTATTTTGCATTATTACTTATAGATTCTTATTCATGTTATTTAATACTAATGAATATTCTTTTATTTACAATATCAACAAATTTTTACGACTGAAAATAAAATAAGAATAAAATTTATAATTTGATACATAACACTGCTCCTTCTTGTATAGATTCAAATGTTTGCTTGGGAAATTTCCAACTACATTATCTTCTAACTTCACACTTCCTTTATCAGAATTAGAAAATTCTTAATAAGTAAACTAATACTATCATGCTGATTCAAATAGAAGGATCTTAAAAATCATTCCAGCAATTGTAATAACTTTATAATAGTGTGAAAATTATGTTTTGAAATTTTTGAGATTATTTCGACTAGCAATCATCATCACACGCATGTGATCTGAAACTAGAAAATGTGATGAAAATTTTATTTGAAGATTCTTTGTGATTATTTCTTAAATGATTTATGGCATAATTTTTTTTTTTTGGACGGACATTTTGCTCAAATTGATTGAATAATCAGTAACAGCAGTAAAATATGAATAATTCGTGGACAGTTGTTGTCAGAAGTAAGCACTATTAGCAAGTAATAAATCAAAACTTAAAGTTTCTTTCTGAAGAATAACTTTATTATATTAACTTTTTACATGCATAAATGGGCTGAAAATTTTTTAAATCATTTATGCATATAAAAAAATACATATATCATTTAAGAAATAATCACATGAAAATATATTAACAAACATTTTCATGTTTTGCACAATGTTATTGAGTGAGTAGAATTTATAGTTCTTGTGATATCTCCTTCAATCGCAATAAAAATAACAGTAATGTGATAGAAATTCCAGTTTCTATTCGATTAGTAAAAATTGACAACATCAACTCACAAAAGAAGTAACACAGTTATCACGCGAAGTTAATCTGCACAAAAATTTTCCAAGTCAAAATATATTTGACTATTAATTAATATTTTGCAACAACAAAAACATAATTATGAAAATAAATGCTGTTATTGGCTGTAACGTACTAATGGTTATCTGAATACGACTTATATTCAACAAATTTGAAAATATTCATAAAATGGATTATATACGCTGTCTCAAAAAATGTCTTACAGTGGTAATTGTCATTTATTGTACAGCTGACAATCCAGGAGGAACAGGCAGGGTTTAATCCACTTTATTCTGTTTCTGGGTTAAAAACTTGTGTGAGTTGAGATGATATTTTTATTCTGCACTGTGTCCAGAACTCAGACAATCATTAGTGACATAAATGATAGACGTAGTAATTAAGCTGATCAGAAACAAGTTTATTGACGTTATGAAATGAATAAAATAAAAACAAAGCAACAAAGATAAAATAATTATTTCATGAGCATTTTGTGGTAAAATTGTGAATAAAAAAATTAAGCAGTAATTTCTGTTTTGTTAATCGCTGTTTAAATAGCATTATAAGTGAGTATTCATCAAAAAACAAGGATCGAATAGTCAGCAATAAATAATATTGCCTATTTAACTCATTTTACTGAACAAATCTTTAGTTTATGCACAAAAATTGCCTTAAACATACTAATTTAAAACCTTATCCGTAATTTATTACTTAACATTGTAATTTGCAGAATTAATAATGTCAAAGCGAGTAAAACGTGAACGAGCATTTGATTTGGCACATATTGAATCAAATTTGGAACAAAAACGACTACATCTCCAATGGCAAAAACTAGGCATAAGATATCTTGATTTACACGAAAAAAGATGCCAGCATAGATGTGATCACAATTTACTACTTGGTCATGATATGGTTCAGGTAGAAGCTTTTTTCTGTTCATAAATCGTATACTTAGTCTTTCAGTTGAAGAGTACGAAATTTGAACATGTTATGAAAATTCCAAATAGAGTTATTCAATGAAAAACTTGATGAATATGGAGTGGACTGGCTACATATTAAATAATATTACTTGAAAGATTTGAAAATTTTCTGTTCGAATAATATATTTAATTTCAAACTGAACTGACTATAACTCATAAAAGAATAGCTGGTGGCTGGATTAAAGATTTTTCAAGAATTAGTAAAATAGTAAAAAGAAAGAGAAAAGCATATTTTCCCAACAGAAAGAAAGAATAATGAAAACATTTTGAGAAAAGTAGAATTATGCTTACTATTAACAGTAACAAACAGTATAAACAAAGCTAAGAAGCGAAATATTTATCAATTTTGGAATATCTCTTAGGGCCATTTGGCATTCGGTAGTATTGGATTGCCAGCTATGATAGAAGAACACGACCTTAAGTTATTTTGTCACCTTAATAGTCAACACAGTAACTGCTTGCATGATTGCGGTTTTATTGTGCAGTTTAATGCGAATGACTTTGTTTGCAAGAAATTTTACACTCAGGTTTGTATGAGCCTATGTATGTTTATTGTTTCGGAAATTTTAAAAAAAATTATTTTTTAAATCGAAAATTGTTATTTCTAAACAAATACATTCTATGATCACTCTTTCAAGTTGACAAATTCACATATTTGCAATTTTTTCCAAAATATATATTAGTAATATGTTGAAAGTAATATTGAGTGGAAAGAACTATACGCTTTGATGCTACTAGTATATTTACACAGAAAAAGTTACTTGATTTTAATTATAAAACCATATTGTGACAAAATATTTAACATTATGAAGCAATTATTTTAAAATGCTTTCAATGTTAACTTCTTGATTAAAACTCAATGATAAGCGGAAATTTTTACGGGAATAATTATTTATGATACTTAAATTTTATTATCTGCAGATGATTAACTTAATGCCATGTTACAAACATGCACTTCCAACATTAAGACGTGTATGTGGTGCACAACAATGCGGTCCATATACATATGTTGATAAGACAATTGTTGGTAAGAACTGTTAAATATTGCTCTAAGAAATAAAAAGCGTTGTTTACTTGGATTAGTGAAAATAAAATCTCCAATTTAAAAGAAAAATCTAATAAAGAATGATTGCACAAAGACAAAATAACGCTTAATTCTGAAACTTTACTACAAAAATATAGGGTATGCGCATCGATGCCGTTTGCTAATATGTGACATCAAATGCACGTCTGATGTGCTCATCCAACAATGTGGCAATAGATTTGGCCAAAAAGCAGCTCAGTTTCTAATGAATTATACGAATCAACAGGTTACTTTTTATACAAGTGAACTCCATTAAATTTTTCTACTATCAATAATTATCATACTTTTACTTGCAAAATCTGGAATATTCTTTTTTTTTTGATTGTTAAAAGCATACTCTTGTAAATTAGAAAAAAACCCACATAAATTATTCCTTCAATTTTTACTTCTCAATGTTTTACATGATCTAATATATTTCATACAATCCTATATTTATTCAAATGTAATTGAGATGAGTACGAAAATTTTACGAGAAATACAAAAGCCTTATAGTATTCTTCAATATCTTTAAGGTATCATTTTGGATGCAAGATTCAAATTTGCGAGACACAGTACCACCATCATGTTCCAGACTTTTTTGCCACAAATCTGACATACGTCATTGCTTTTTGTGAAATACGAATTTATATATTTATATGATCTAGCAAGCATTAATGATGCTCTATATACCGTAAGCTGTAAAGTATAGCAGCAGTAATATTGTGCTTGCTATTCTAAAGACATTTTGAAAATAAAATAACTGAAGATTTCAATTTTTTGGCACATATTAAATTTAAACCAATCAGTACGGGCTTTAGCGTTGTAAATTTTACGAAAGCTTATATCTCTAAAGGAAACTAATGCAATTCAGATGACAGTACACTTATTTTATGCAACAAAAAAAAAACTTTTATTATTCTAGGAAAAATTGGATGATACCTATGAAATTTTAGATAATTAAATATTTAGACCAAGCAGACTTTAAAAAGATAAAATTTTAAAAATAGGTACAAACCTGCAATGCACAACAATCGGTGCATCAACATGAAATTTATCGGTATATTGACGAACTCGCCGACGTAATTCAATAAAAGCGCTAATATATGGAAAACTGTTTAATTCCCATTCAGTAAAGTGAAAATGTTTAATTACACGACTTTGTTGGCCTACATCAGAATCCATCTTCGATAATCGTAACGTTCGAATGACCTTTGAAAGTTGTACTCCATGAAATTTTCCAGTTCAAAAATGGTACATGTCACTAACGATTCATATTTAATTAACAAAGTAATTTCTCGATCAATATTAGAAAAAAAAACAAGAAGAACTGAAATATGTGATTCCTGATTATATGAGAAAATATTAAATTTTACAGCAGGTCATAATTTCGAGTAAAATGAATCCAATTCAATTGGCAGTACACCCCCACTATGTGCAGAAAAAGACTCACAAATCTATACAGGAACGACTAGTATTAATAATAAAAAAATAGAAAGATTAATAAATTTGAGTTTGGTATTATCATCAATAATTCGTTGGAAAATCTGGAACTAGACAATTTTTTAAATTTTTCCAAAATTTTTGGTCACATAAGAATACTTACAAAATGGGCGTAAGTTTTGGTCTCTAAAGTCTCTACTTCAATCCCGTTATATTCACTGCAAGCAGCAGGCCAATACTGAAGGCACATTACCTGCAACGATATTTTTGTGATAAATTTTGTTGTAGTATTTGTAATAGTGATGAATGTTTGCAGAAATTATTCATATATATTTAATAAAATGAATGTAAAATTCTAATACATACTAAGTACTTAATATAAATACTTAATACAATGTAAATTCTATCGTCTCATAAAGAATTATTAGGAGTTAATTATCAATTATTATAAGCATAACACTAAATGAATATTTCAATACCAACAAACCCGCATAAAATCAAAAACTTTAGTTAACATAACAATACAATTTGAGCCAAGCTCCCAAATAAATCGCCAGAATTCTGCAATGGCTGGCTTTGTTTTGACTGCCTGCGTTACAACATAGGCTTTTTTCCGTAACCAACTCTAAATTATATAACAAAATTTTAAATGAATCTATTTATTATTTTAAATTACTTTAAGATTTAACATGAATACGACCTATGGTTATTAAATCTATAACAATTGAAAATGGGTTTTGAGAGATAAGAGTGAAAGGTGCAGAACAGTGCTAATCTATCCCTTCTTTCCCTAACTTTTTGCTAATAAACAGTACAAACAGTAAAACTTTCTAACATAAGCTTGAAAGAAATTTACAGCCATTACGAATAATTCATAATGATGTGAAAACTA